CACATACCCTAGGGAAGCTTTAAAATGTTGCATATAGGGTGGGATGATGACCATGACTGGGACCTGGGAGATGGTCGTGCTTCTGGACCATGAGCCATGTACGTCCATTACTCCCAGCAGTAGTGGGCCAGTCTCACATGCAGTTTCCTAAATTTACACATCTGGCTACCTGCCATTCCCCGAGTGCCTGAGAGTTGCCTGTCCCTGCTGTAACCCTACAGATGTGCCTTGCAGAAATCCCTTCTCTTGGCAAGGAAGCATACTGCATTCTGGAACAAGAATGAATATATTTTCCAAAGAGAGGACTCCTAAAATAAAGACCAGCTCCAGAGGTGAGGGGTTTCTGACAAGGTCTTCTATCTGAGAAAGATGGATGATGGTGATGAGTTCTCTTGGGGGTTGGTGGGGTGGGGATGTTTTGAGCCACCTGTGGGTTTGAGAGTGTGGACCAGGTACCTAATGTCTATGTGAGGCTTTGTTAGTGTCAGAGTAAGAAAACATCTAAGTCACAGGAAGTTGAATTATAATGGCTGTATCCTAAGTCAGACAGGAGCTGTTGTTAACCATTATGTGTAGGTCTTAACCCAGGGGGAAAATACATACGGACATCATATTGCAAACAACCTTAAGCTCCTCACAGGTCCTCCTCTCCCACATGAAGAACTCTGCTCTGTGTGATAGTCCTAGAGAAAGTAACAGACTGGTATAGTCTAGCTTGTATTAAAGATTTCTTTTCCCTTTCTGGAGCAGAATACAAACTCTGCTATAACCTTGTTCTGCAAGAGAGATTGCAACAAGAGCTTACTCAGCAAAGCCTCAGCAGATAAATTTTAGTTCAGAGTCTCCATGAAATGATTCCAAATGTGAAACTACTTTCAGATACTATAATTTAGTCATTTGCTTTTTCATTATCCTAATGTCTTTGGGTTGTGAAAAATAAAACAGTCATGTTAACACAAACCTATACGCTGAAAAAGAGATAAATATAGGTGCTATGGGAAAAGCAGTATGTAGTACAGATTGTAAAACATGCTCTGGAAAATATGAGATATTGTTATTTGGTGCTTCCCTCATTTGACAGGTAAAACCTTTGCAGTTTTAGAGGATCTTGATAGAATAAGACTATGCTGTTTTAACTCCAGCTAGTATATTGAAGCAATATTCTTGTGGCCTAATTTTCCACCATTATCAACTTTTGTGCTAGAAGAAACTGCACAGACACATTTTGAGGGTATGCTCTGTTCCAGGCTGTGTGCTAGGATCTTTGCACATATTGCCTCTGAACCCCAACCTTGTCCTCAGTTATATACTAGTAATGAGACTATATTCTCTACAGTGCTTTTTCCAGGAAAGGAGAAACCACAACACAAGTCTAATTCTTAGGTTTGTTGTTCCTTCCTTTGTTTTTAAGTGTTCTATGAGCCATCATATCATGCATGACGTCATCCAGAAGAACCTTTGAGGTGTATCTGAATTCTTCCTTCTTCTGTATTCACTGTTATTTGTATTCCTTTCTTCCCGGAGCTAGAAATAGGACTAGGCATTCTGGACCAATTACTACTTTCCAGAGACAAAGCTTTCTTGAGAGTAGTTTTCAAAACTAGATAATCTAAAACAGAATAGTTTCTTGATTCTGCTGGATCTGAGATCCTTGCCATGGCCTGGAAGTGCCTGTGTAGTCTGGCCTGACTGACTCTGGCATTGTCTGTTCCCCCATCTCTGCATGCTTTGGTCACACTAGCTGCTTTCTGAGTTCCCCCAGTGAGGCACCCTTCTTCTGATCTAAGGACTTGGTTTTTTTTCCCTTGATTTTTTGCTTGGACATGTTCTTATCAACATTTAATTCACCTGCATAAATGTCACCTATTCAGATGTACTGGGCTTACCATATATGTTAAGCAGTTCTTCCTGTCCACTGACCTATCACCTTATCATGTTCCCTCCACAGAATTTACCATGGTCAGAAATTATGGCCTTTTCCATATGTACTGCCTGTCTTCTCCCTCTAAAATGCAAACTGCCTGAGAGTAAAGACTTTGCTGGGGATCCAGTGATGAAAATGTCTGTTATGTACTAGAGGTCAGTAATGGTGTTTTGAATGGATGGGCTTTTGTCTGAGATTACGTGAGGAAAATTAGTGGTTCTTACTTGTGATTCCAAAGTACTTAGTGATTTATTCATAACAGTAAATGCTTCAGAATTAGCAAGATGCTGAGCATATAAGTAATGAGATAGATAGATATGTATTAACAAATTTGTTATACCTGTATGAGGTAGGTATATTATTGTTCCCACTTTATAGATGCAAAAATTATGGTACAGAGAGGTTGAAGAACTTGTGTTAGATGCTATACAGATGGTAGGTTTGAAGGCAGGCACTTGAGCTAATGCTCTTTACCACTGAATAGAAAGTGCTCAGTGAATAGAGTTTTGGCCACGTGCCCAGCACTGGCTGAGTTCTTTCTTGCATGACGTCACTCAGCCCTCACCTCCATACTGTGAGGTAGGGACTGTCATTATGCCTGTTCTGGAGACGGGGACGCTGAGGCTTGGGAAGCAAGCAACTCGTCTCATGTCCCATAGTTGTCACTTAGTGATGCAAACGGGACTTGGATATAGATAATATGAACGCTGTGATCTTATGCATTCTCTCTATATTACAGGGGCTTCCCAGGTGGCTCAGTGGTAAAGAGTCTGCCTGCCAGTGCAGGAGACGTCGATTTGATCCCTGGGTCGGAAGATCCCCTGGAGAAGGAAATGGCAACCCACTCCAGTATCCTTGCCTGGAGAATCCCATGGACGGAGGAGCCTGAGGGGCCCCAGTCCATGGGTCACAGAGAGTCGGGCACAACTGCGTGACTACACCACCACCACCACCACATTTACAAGAGCACTTGTGAGTTGCTCTTAGAACACAGTCATGTTTGTGAAAGAGGGGTTAGTCTCCCCTACTCAGAGGGTCTCCACTAGTGTAACAAAGAGGGTACCCATTACTTGGCTACAGATTTATAATGGATATGGAGTAGTCCAACTCGGAGAAAGAAATAGGAGAAGCGGAGTTTGTGTCAATATAGCCACTTGCTTATAAGGAATTATAGAGTTGGTTAAATGTTCATCTTTTTAAGAAGGAGCATAACAATAGGATTTGGAAACCTAGTATCTGTGAAATGTCAATTGTGATGTCTAAAATAAACAAGGGCAGAATGAGATACATATTTGTATATCACTATACAAATTTTGGACTGAGCTGAGATGCAGTGTGCAGTGAATAGCATTATTATTTTGTGTGTGTGTGTGTTTAGCATTATTGTTTTGTGAAACTTGCCAAGTTCTTTCACCCTGAGTCCTTCGTTAGGGACTTCTCTCAGAGGCTGAGGCCAGCTGTAGGGATGGTATGATGTCATGGGTACATTTTTTCTAATGTTCAGCTTATAGGTAGGCATTAGTAACCTTATGCAAAACCAGTATACTCAGAGATGGCATAAAATCCCTTGAAATTATGCATTCTTAATCTTAGCTGCAGGGAAAACATCCATGTCAGGGATTATGCTTAGACATGTGGAGATTATTATTTTTTTTTCCTTTAGAAGATTCCCTAAACCCACTGAGACCTATTGAATCAGCAAGAAGTCAGGTTCAGCCATTGTCTTTGAACTCGAAGATTCCACCATTTTCACAGAACTTGTATTACACGTGCTCTCATGCATGCAGTTCTATGTGATCCTACCCAAGCCTCTGTTGGATGGTCACAATGACCCAGGGTGTGGGCAGGCTGGGTGTTATTAAACCACTTTACAGATGAGGAAATTGAGGTTAATAGGGTCTAAAGAGCTTGCCCAGGGTCAGGCTGCTAATAAATGGCAAAGCCAGCACCTGAACCAAAGTCTTTGGGCTCCAAATGACTTCCTTTTTCTGCTGCCCACGCCTCCCCCTTGTGAAAGAGAACCTGTTTGTGGTGATGTTTCAGGCTCTGAGCATCTCTCCTGAAGGTTTCCTGACTAGAAGGTCTGCTTCAAGAGGGTAGGGTCTGTGGGCTTAAGATGAAACACCTTACCGAGTGCTGTTTGCATACCACTTTCCCTGGGTTTTGGCCCTGCCAACTTTAAGTGGCTGAAAGCAATGAGCAGTGTCTGTGGGCCAGAACTAACATTATGTGTGTGGTTTTCAAACAACGGTTCCTCGATTCCCTTGAGAACCTCCTGGTGAGACAGGATACAGGTGGGGACAGCCTTTCACAGTGACTGTCATTTCTCTTCTCAGCGTCTGTGTGTTCTGGGACCAGTAGAGACTTTGTTTCTCAAACTGGTTGCCCTTTTACTCAACGATCCTTCCTACTGTTCCAGCTTTTATTGTGTCTTCCAAGTTTTGAAAGAATTGCAAAATTCATCAAGGGTCAAGTATTGACTCAGGGACTGGAATTTCAGAGAGGTGGCTCAGCAACTTCAGTGGAGCAACCCGTTGAACCAAACTGCGATTGTTAAAAGATCAGGCGACTTAGCACAGTCACCCAGCCGGCTCTGGCTGAGCAGTGATGGATGGGGTGCAGGCAGGCCAGTACTGCTGCTCCGTCTCTTGGGACCGAAGCCACCAGGCGTCCTGCAGAGCCTGCCCGGTAGAAGGTAGCAACCGCTTAGCTTTCACCTGATAGGGAAGAGTGCACTTCAGTCACAGGTGCTGGCTCTGTAGAACAAGTAGATGGTTGAATAGGCTTAAATAATCAAGCTTTTTCAAACAGAAGCCAAATACTCCTTGTGGGCTTTCCTGGTGGCTCAGCTGGTAAAGAATTGCCTGCAATGTGGGAGGCCCGGGTTTGATCCCTGGGTTGGGAAGATCCACTGGAGGAGGGCATGGCAACCCATTCTGTATTCTTCTTGCCCGGAGAATCCCCATGGGCAGAGGAGCCTGGCGGGCTATAGTCCGTGGGGTCGCAAAGAGTCGGATACGACTGCACAGTGATGTATAAAACGCAGATAAACTCAGCTCGCCTCTTTTCACCACAGGTATGTGAGTGCTGGACTTCCCCGCACCTGGGGTCAGAATGCTGCTCTTCTGTCACGCCCTCACTGTAGCTGTGGTCCAGACCTTTATCTTCTCCGAAAACCGGGTGTTTGCCAAGAACATCAACTTCTATAACGTGCGGCCTCCTCTTGATCGTGAGTAGTGGTTGTCACCATTGTCCGTGACATGGGATCGGAATAACTAAAATCTCTGTTTCCCTATAGTAACTTTGCTGATTCTGGAACATTTGGTTTATATCGAGCACAAATTGGAAAGTCTTCATTACTTCCGTGGGTAAGGGTAACACATGGTGACAAATTTTCTCCATTTCTTTAAGATGGTTTGGCTTCCTGCTGAAGTCTTAAAAGGGTTCATGTTTAAAATAATTTTCTGAACACTGTCCCTACGAATGGCTCAGCAGGGGAAATTCAGTGTTCTTTGCTGATTTCTTCCTTGGAGAAGGATTTTGACTGTAGGAAGATTCTGCATAAATTATGTATAAAATCTCCCCTCCCTTCTCTCTCTTCGGACAAGTAAAACTTCTCTGATATACCTTATAGAGAATGTGTGATAGATAAAAACAGTTTTAGAAATGTGAATGCCAGTGGTTCACAAACCTGGGAGGGTATCAGAATTACAACAAAAGCCTTTAAAATTACATATTCCTGGGTTTCTTCTCCAAAGATTCAGTAGTCAGGAGGGTGGGGTGTGGAATTCTTTCTCTTTTTCCCTGTCTTCTTTGTAGTTACACAGTCAGGTTTGGGAACCACTGTCTTTATACTCCTCCATGAGGAGTGTTCATACTCCTGTATGGTTTCCATTCTGCACTTTGTGTTTTGTTATTTAGGACATTCAGTCATTAGTAAGTAGGCGTGTACACACATATATACTACATAGCCATAGACATATACACACCACACACTTTGAACTGCCATTTATTACAAATTTCTAAATTGGTAGTGATTGTATACTTGATAGCTTGATGGCTTAGCATAGACATCATTTTCATAAAATCTAAATTATTGAGAAATTTTTAACCTTTTAAGCCTGATATAACTTTATGATGAGCAAATTATTAAAGATATAAAATTAATACTTGAGTATTATAGAAAATTCCAAAAAAGACTGGTAAATGTGTACAAGAATAAAATTTATTCATAATCCCAAGATTCAGAGCGAGCTCTTCTTTACAGTTTGGCATACAGTTGACCCTTGAGCAACATGGATTTGAACTGCCTGGTTCACTTATATGTGGATTTTTTTCAATGGTAAATAGTACTAAATGGTCTGCAGAGGGACATATGGAGGGCTGACATGAGATTGTGTGAGGATTTTCAACTGCATGTCCTTCTGTTGCTTTTACCCTGTATATGTTTTTAAATATGTGATATACTGAGATCACACAGATTTAATTTTGCAGCTTTTAGTAGCTTTTATTACTTTATTTAAAAGCTTTTATAGCTTTTATTCCTTTACATTGTATTTTGAATACGTTTCCATGATTTTGAAAGTATCTTAATGTCTTACATGAAAAAGTGTTTTCACTCATACAGTTAGCAGTGACACACACACAATCATGAACAAACAAAATGTTAATGCTTCACTGAAAATCTTTTTAAATGCATTTTCCATTGGCTAATGACCTTAGGACAGATTTTAGGAATTCCTAAATCAAAAAGGTAGTGCCAATTTTTACATTAACTATTCACCTACCAGCAGTGAGTTTAAGTATTTTTAAAACTGTACTGAATTAGTAGGTGAAATGGATTTCATTATTTACCTACCTAATTCACTTTTATGCATAGGTGAAACTGAAATGTATTTGTGGTAACTAATTTTGTGTCCTCTGAGTTTTAGCTTTTGATAGTTTGCTCTTGGTTTACGCATCAATAATACTCTCCTCTGTATGTGAAATACCCACTGCTTTCTAATTATCATCCCAACTTGGGGTCAGGTTACTAGGATGGTTTGGTTTACCTTGATCTTTATTTCATTCTTCAAAAACAGGAGAATTAAATGTTTCACACAGGGCTTTACACTCCGGTGTATAGAGAAATGTCAAATTTATCCTTTTGACTTCTTGCCCATCAAAATAACAAGATACAAGATAGAAAAAAGAAAGCATAAAGACAAAAAGAACATACTAGTTGTTGTCATTACAGACTGCCAGCAGCTCATAATTCTTGTTTCTATAACACTCTTGCCTGAGCACAAGGGCCTGAGAATTACTATCATCCTTAATGTTAAATGTTACATTCCTGGTTGATGTCTAAGGTAGGGATAATTGACATATCAAATGAAATTACTTGTTTGAAGTTAAGCCTAGCTGTAAAGCAAGTACATAGGGATGGAAACCAATGTGGTTTGATATGCCAGGGATCCTAAGAGATTTTTCATACAATCTTTTGTTTAACCTTTATTATACCTCTGCAAGTCATGGGGAGGGATCTTTAGGTAATAATAATAAATTACTTCTTAGTCAAAAGGGCAGAATTCAAGCTCAGGTTAATGACTCCAGTTCTTTTCAGAGCCAATAATATATCAAAGTATTGGTCCCAATACTACCACCATCTTTGCCCATCCACTCAACCTTCACTTATTCCCAAATTATAACAGAACAATACCATGGATATTTCAAAGTGGCTCATGGAGTCATCTGCACTGCTCTGTAGTGTGTATTCATAGATGAAACAGTCAAAGGAAAGGGGATAAAGAAAATGCCCCAAAGTCTGGCAGTTAAGCCCAGCTTGATAGAAATTATAAGGATAATGACTTGTAAATTTTCTTTGCTCTAGTAAAAGTTTGCTAATTTTATGCCATATCTGATGTTTGAAATATTTAACTATATTGTTTCCCTTTGTATTTTTTTTTTTTAAAGCTACACCATTTCCAAACAGCTTCAAGTGTTTTACCTGTGAAAATGCAGGGGATAATTATAACTGCAATAGATGGGCAGAAGATAAATGGTGCCCACAAAGTAAGTGTGCTGAGTTTGGAACTCTTTTTGTGACCAGACCTCATTTAGATCTCTCTCAACTGGCTCTGAGCAAAGGCATCTTATGTGATGAGATTAGTAAATCAGCAGGCCGGTGATGTTCTATAGAAATCAGAGAATGTTTGACAAGACTATCCAGACATCAGACTAATCTGAGAGTACATGGAAACTGATGGCATAGCCTCAGTTTGTAGTTGTGTGTGCTTTGAGTACGAATTTTTTTTTTTCTTTTTAGAATTTCTTAATTAATATTTACAAGCGAGAACAAATAGACCACAATGTTGACTAAGGCATTCTAAGAATGTCAGAAATGTTTGATGATACCTCTAGAAAAGTCCTACTTACTGGCTAAAGCAAAAGAACGTTTCTGTCCTCTTGAGATACACTGATGCTTAAGTGACTCATTCATTTACTTGACAAACGTTTGAGCATCTTTTTAGTTTGTTTAGTTGTCTCGTAGATCCCAGTGTGTAATCCAGTACCTGGACCATATTAGGTATTTGGTAAATATTGACAGAATGAATGGATGCCTTTGACTATGTAGTCAGGAAATCTCTGAGGAATATACATTTGCACTAAGACTCAAATGACCAGAACAAATCAGCTCTGTGGAGAGCTATAGGAAAAACATGCCAGTAAGAGGAACAGGAAGGCTGGCTGGTGAGGCTTAGTGGAAGGGGGAGAAAGGATTTGATGGAGATAAGGACTGGGACATGCACGATCTTCTTTGTTTTGGTAAGAAGTTTAGATTTCATTGGAAATGTGTTGGGTGTTAAAGCTATAGAGTACAAGATGCTAGGTATATTGTAAAATATTGTTCTGGCTTCTGTGTGCAGAATGAATGGTTGGGGGCAAGAGAAGAAGGGGGCACCAAGTGGGCTCTTTCATTATCTTTTCAGGCAGCAGAAGATGGTCTTAGACTAATATGGTAAGAATATAGGGGGTGAGAAGTTGAATGACTTAATACAAACAAACTTGGATGCAAAGCAGACAGGATGTGCTAATAGAATTGAAAACCTCTACTTAGCCTGATTTCCTTATAGTTCTGTATGTATTTTAGGCTGCACTGTTTTTTTTTTAGGTTTTCAGATGTGAAAGGCCAACAAACTCTTCCAGGCTTAACAATTACCAGCTTTGATCTTCTATTTCTGTGAATCTTTTGGAAATTTCTGTATCACATTACTGCAGTGGCATAGCCCTACCTCTTCCAGATAATGCCAGTGGGTTGTGAGTGTGCTCGTGCCCAGTCGTGTCCGACTCTTTGTGACTCCATGGACTGCAGCCCACCAGGCTCCTCTGGCCATGGGGTTCTCCAGGCAAGAATACTGGAGTGGGTTGCTATGCCAGCCTCCAAGGGATCTTCCCCACCCCAGGACTGAACCCATGTCTCTTTCATCTCCTGCATTGGCAGGTGGATTCTTTACCACTGAGCTACCTGGGAAGCCCTTGGTGATGCCAATGGGTGGAGCCAATTGATAGTAACACTGGAGACATCTATGGGCCTGAAAATCTTATGCTCTAAATTAGACAGATGACTATGACATTTACATGGACAGTATTGTTCACTACTTCTTTTCAAGAATAATTATGAAGATATTTTTTTCTTAATGTCCTCTTACAGCTTTCAAGAGTGCATGAATTCTTTTGGGGATTTGTTTCTACATTTTCACAGACGTTTATTTCAATGTTTGTGAGGGCTGGTAAAATTCTTTAACTATTTGCTTTAAATTTCCCCAAGAACTGGGGGGGGGGGGGGGNACGGGGGCGGGGGGGGGGGGGGGGGGGGGGGGGGAAGGTTTGGAACAGCAGTAGATTGGGGCATTGATGTCCAGCCTCTTTATGACTATGACCCATTCTTTTGAATTTTACCAAATGCTGTTCAAGAGGAAAAGGGAGCAACCAAGGATGAGATGGTTAGATAGCATCACTGGCTCAATGGACATGAGTTTGAGCCAACTCTGGGAGTTGGTGAAGGACCCAGAAGCCTGGTGTGCTGCAGTCCATGGGGTCGCAAAGAGTCAGACATGACTGAGTGATTGAACAGCGATAAAATGCTGTTTCTACTAGTTCTGTACATGTTCCAATTTGTACTTCATTAATCAAAGCCACTTTTAAGGGAACTTGCATGGGCATTTCTGGGTTTTAGAACTTCATCTCTGTTGAAACATGGGAGCAAAAGAAGGATTCTGCAGTTTTCTGCCTCCAAGAAAATGTCTGGGAGGGGAGATTGGGGTCTTCCCCATCCACCCTGAAAACCTGACTCAGAGAGCTGGACAGAGATGACCCTGCATTCCAGCGTGTCTGACTGTACACCAGCCAAGCCCCCCAAACAATCATCTGGAGTTCTGAGGCTGTAACTGCTTACCTTTCGCTTGTCATTATCAAGGGGAGTGAGAGTCAACCATTTCTTGGGACAAACAGGCCTGTGGCTGTTGTTCTTTGTCATCTCAGGTTTCCTTTTCACTTTATAGCTCTGCTTCTGCCATCAGCCAGTGGTGTTAAAAGACAGTCTCTAGGTAACAAAATATGACAAGAATGACACTTCTTGTTTTGTTTACCCTGGTTCTTACTCTGACTTTGTAGGGCTGCTTTAGCCTGTGTGACAGTCCATGAACACATGTACCTACCAGTTTTCGATTCTTTGTCTGGAGTACAAATTGGAATGCCTTTCAGAACATGGAGTGGTTCTCTCTCCTCCTGAGTCCCAGTCTGCTGCTCTTGTAGAGGTGTTCTGCTGATGCTCAGCTCAATGCTGAGGATACAGAGAGGCACAGTTGTGTGCTGGTGGAGAGCGCAAACCCTGGAAAACCACCTCCACGAGAATCTTACCTTCCATCACTTTCTACCCATGTGAGCCTCGGTGTTTTATCCGTGAAATGAGGCGATTCCTATGACTTGTCTTAAGGCTTATTGTGAGGACTGAAGGAGTGAATGCATATTAGAGGAGTGCCTGACTGGTGGTACACACTTAATGTGCATTTGCTCTTGCTAACATGAAAGCTTACAAGTCTATTCAAATGCCAGCGCACTCACCCTTTTGCTAAAAAGAAAATGCGCTCAAAGGCTGTCACATGGCTTGTTCACTTGTGACAGAGGCAGCTCTCTAAGTCCCGTCTTCTCAACTTTAGTCCTTTCTCAGTAAATGAAGAAGCATTTCATCGGCCTGAGCTATCTAGAATAAGAGGCACAGAACTAAGGTAGAATGTCCCAGAACAGTGAGTGAAATCGCTTTCTTGAGAGAACTCTTTTAAGTAATAAAATGTGAATGGTTAAAGGTAACTTTGTATGAAAATGAACTAGCCAAGCAGAGGAGGACAGAGAAGGTAAGAGAGAGCTAAAGAGGAGGAGAAAATACAGAAATACTTTGATTTTTCCCCAAACACGTTGGGAGGATTAGAGCCTGAAGAACTTGTTGAAGCACCTGCTTTCACTCCAGTTTGCCACATGGCCTATTAGTATATAAAGAAAGAATGCAACAGGAAGGGCTGTGGCCCACTTCATTTTTACATTTATAGTTTTCATTTTATTTTAGAGTTATAGAACATGTGCTTCAGAGGGAGAGAGAAAGATACTGACACTTTTTTATGAAATGAGCAGACCTGGAGTTTTGATGAAAGACTTGTTCAGTTTTTTTCTCAGCTTTACCTTGCACCAGAGGATAACTGCCCATTTATATTCATTTTAAAAATACACATACTTCAGAAGCTAGTACCTATTCAGAAAAACCACCCAGAAACTTGAGCTCACTGCCATTAAATTTCTTGCCTAGAAACTTAAGGATCGTCCCAAATTTTAGACATTTCTGAAGTGATTGGTCAAAGTTTTTTTTTTTTTTCCCCTTTTCCCTTTGCCTAGATACACAGTACTGTTTAACAGTACATCACTTTACCAGTCATGGAAGAAGTACATCCATCACCAAAAAGTGTGCCTCCAGAAGTGAATGTCATTTTGTTGGCTGCCACCACAGCCGAGATTCTGAACACACGGTAAGGAGTGTGTGTGTAAAGTTATTGTCCTAAGGTTTCTTGATGGTGATGGTTGGTTGTATATAGAGGCAGGACAGATAAATAATATGTCAAAGGCATATACTTTGAGAAACTTCCTTACACTGATACAATGGAGATGAAAGAAGGTGAAGACTTTCTGTCATCAAACAGTATCATTACTAAAAATGAATGACAATTCTCAGACTCCAGAGAGCCTAGGGTCTTGACCTCGGACTTTGGGTGAGTAGCCTGAAGTCAGCACTGGAATTCCAAGAGTAAACCATCCTTGCATGAAAGGATGACCAGTGCTACAGAGCCCAACTTATGTATTTTGTTTACGGCTAGAAATCACCAAGAATGCTACACAGAGAAGGTGCAAAGAGGAAAATGGTGACACCTTTTATAAAGAAAACTTTGTCTCACTGCCTCTGCTTCGATGAAGTGAGAGTCTGAAAGATTAATCCCATCTTATTATGATTAACTACAGGTAACATTTTAGATCAATTGGTAGCTTCAGTTTTCTCATTCTACCATTTTAAATGAGCATTTGACTCTCTCATATGCCTGGAATCCTGAAATGTTTGAGAAAAAAATTACTTAACAGTATATTAATCTCATGAGATCTTAGAATTCAATTTAGCCTATACATACATAAAATGGTCCTGACACCAGTGGCTTTTTAAAAAAAAATGTTATTTTAGTATAGTTGATTTACAATGTTGTATTAATTTCTGCTGTAGACCAAAGTGATTCAGTTATACTTTGTCATATTCTTTTCCATTATGGTTTATCACAGGATACTGAATAGAGTTCCCTGTGCTACAGAGTAGGACCTTCTTATTTATCCATCATATATATAATAGTTTGCATCTATCTCAAATTCCCAATCCTTCCTTCTCCTACCCCCTTGGCACCTGTTTTCTATGCCTGTGACTGTTTCTGTTTTGTAGATAAGTTCGTGTGCTGACCACTAGTGGCTTTTAGCTCTGGCTACACAGGGGAATCTCCTGGGGAGCTTTTTATAGGCTCTAGTAGCGGGGGTAGGCTGAGAAGGCAATGGCAACCCCCTCCAGTACTCTTGCCTGGAAAAATCCCATGGACGGAGAAGCCTGGTGGGCTGCAGTCCATGGGGTCGCACAGAGTCGGACACGACTGAAGTGACTTAGCAGCAGCAGCAGGGTGGGTAGAGGTGGGCAGACTCAGACCAACTGAAACAGAACTTCAGCGTGAGGTTCTGGGCATCAGTATTTTTTTGGTAAGCTTCTCCAGGGTGATTCTGATGTGTGACCAGGATTGAGAACCACTGAGATAGAAAATTTATCTTACCTGGCCCTTCTGGAAGCCATTTGATATAGATACTTTATCCTGAAAGCCTCTGTGACTGCCTGGGTTTATCAGGTGGAGGTGTTGTACCAGGCATTATGACAAGAGCATGCTTCTCTTGAGACAACCTTGTGCTGTGAGAGAGCTGGTGTTTTTCACCAGTCAGCAGCCAGATTAGCAAGCCAGTGTCACTGTAAAGATAGGGATGAGGCATTAGTATAGACAATAGAGTCATAATTATCCCCTAACAAGTAGTACTGAGAAAGAAAATCAATGACTAATCCACAAGGCTCCTAGCTTTCATTTTTGTTTCAGTGTTTCCCCTTACAAACCTTCAGAAGATTTGTTGACTCCATTAAACAGTCTTACTCCATTTGCCTTTCTCTTGCTTATGCTTGGGTTGATGCAGATAAATCACAGTTAAAGTGAAAAGACTCTCACGATTGTTTTTACTTTGAGGTCAGTTGTGGGAAAGGGTGCCCAAGGGCCTGGATGACTCATAGATCAAAAACCAACTCAGTTCTGTCCTCAGAGCGGTTTCTAACCTCCTGATGTTTGCGCTTTAGTTACTGTCTCGCTGAAGTCACTTAAGAGACCCCAAGCCAGAACTGCCCAGCCAAGCCCATCCTAAATTCTTGAAAAGTTCCTACTTAGAAAAATTACAGTATGAAAGTTTACCTAGTAGGAGACAAGATGGTGGAGTAGAAGATGTGAGCTCACCTTTTCTTATGAAAATACCAAAAAGCACAGCTAAAAGCTGGACAAGCATCGACAAGATATGCTGGAACCTACCAAAAAAGATATCCTACATCCAAATTCAGAGACACAACGAGATGGTAGAAGAGGTACAATCATGATAAAATCAAATCCCATACTGGCCACATGGAAAATCCACAAGCTGAAAAACTATGAGAGAAGTTCTCCCACAGGAGTGAAGGTTCTGAGCCCCACATCAGGCTCCCCTGCCTGGCAAGCAGAGTTTGGCAATGGAGGAGGAGCCCCCAGAGAATCACTGGCCCCTTTGAAGGCTAGGGCTTCCCTAATGGCTCGTTGGTAAAGAATCTGCCTGCAAAGCGCGAGACCCAGGTTCGATCCCTGGGTTGGGAAGATCCACTAGAGGGGGCATGGCAACCCACTCCAGGACTCTTGCCTGGAGAAGTCCATGGACAGAGGAACCCGGCGGGCTACAGCTATAGGGCAGCACAGAGCTGGACACGACTGAGTGACTGAGCAGCCGCAGGGGCGTTTGTCGTAGGAATTCCGCTGGACTGGGGGAAACAGAAAGTCTGCTCCTGGAGGGCACACAGCAGGTCTTGTGTGTACTAGAACCCAGGGGAAAAAGCAGGGACCGCTTAAGGGCCTGAGCCCTGGTGTTGGAGGGCCTCCAGCCTAGGCAGGGTGGGTGTGGCTCACCGCAGGGACGCAGACACTGATAGTGGTAGTTCTGGAGAGTACTCACTGGTGTGAGCCCTTTGGAAGGTCACCAGATCAGAGAGAAATTAAAAACACAATCCCATTTACCATCAGATCAAAAAGACTAAAAGTACCTAGAAATAAACCTACCCAGGAGGCAACGGACTTGTACTCTAAAACTATAAGATATTGATGAAAGAAATCGAAGAGGACACAAACGGATGGAAAGATATACCATGTTCTTGAATTAGAAGAATCAGTGTTGTCAAAGTGACTCTACTACCTACCCAAGGTAATATACAACCTCAGTGCAATCCCTATCAAATTACCAATGACATTTTTCACAAAACTAGAATAAAAAATTTATTTTCTATGAAGACGCAAAAGGCCCTGAATAGCCAAAGCAATTCTGAGAAAGAAAAGCTGAAGCAATCAGGCTCCCCAACTTCAGACTACATTGCTACAAAACTACAGTAATCAAAACAGTGTGATACTGGTACAAAGACAGAAATATAGACCCATGAAAAACCTAGAAATAACAAGATAGCCCAGATATCAACCCATGTACTCATGGTCAATTAATCTACAACAAAGGGAGTGAGAATATACAATGGAGAAAAGACAGTTTCTTCAAAAAGTGGTGCTGGGACAACTGGTCACTCACATGTAAAATAATGAAATTAGAATATTCTTTAACACCACACACAAAAATAAACTCAAAATGGATTAAAGACCTAAATGTAAGATTGGATACTATAAAACTTGTAGAGGAAAACATAGGAAGAAAGCTCTTGAACACAAATCGCAGCAATATCTTTTTTGATCAATCTTTAGAGTAATGGAAACAAAAACAAAAAAACCTAAATGGGACATAATAAAACAAAAGCTTTTGTACAATAAAGGAAATCATAAACAAAAAGAAAAGATAACCCACAGAATGGGATGAAATATTTGTAAATGAAGCAACCAACAAGGGATTACTCTGCAAAATATAAAGACAGTGAAAGCAGCTCACTATATATATAAAAAAGAAAACACAATAAAAAAATGGACAGAAGACCTAAATAGACATTTCTCTGAAGAAGTCATACAGATGGCCAAGAGGCACATGAAGAGGTGCTCAATATTACTAATTATCAGAGAAATACAAGCCAAAACTATAAGATATCACCTCATACCAGTCAGAATGGCCACCATCAAAAAGTCTACAAACAATGAATGATGGAGAATGTGTGGAGAAAAGGGAACCCTCCTACACTGTGGGAATGTAAATTGGTCCAGCCACATGGAGAACAGTATGGAGGTTCCTTAAAAAAGCTAAAAATAGAGGAGCTTCCATATGATTCAGCAGTCCCACTCCTGGGCACATATCCAGAGGAAACCATGGTTTGAAAGGATATGTGCACCCCAGTGTTCATTGCAGCACTGTTTACAATAGCCAGGACATGGAAGCAAACTAAATGTCCATCAACAGAGGAATATATAAAGAAGATGTGGCATATATATATATATACACACACACACACACACAACGGAATATTACTTCGACACTAAAAAAAAAAGATATAATGCCATTTGTAGCAATATGGCTGGACCTAGAGATCATCATACTAAGTGAAATAACTCACAGAGAAAAACAAATATATGTTATCACATATGCAGAACCTTAAAAAATGATACAAATGAAGTTATTTACAAAACAGACTTTGAAAACTTATGGTTACCAAAGTAAAAAGATGGAGGGTAAAATGGAAGTTTGGGGTTGACATATACATATTACTATGTTTTATTAGTAGATAGCCTACAAGGATTTACAGTATAGAATAGGGAACTCTGGTCAATATTCTGTAATAAACTATATATGGAAAAGAATGTGAAAAAGAAAAGATACATGTATAATTGAATCACTTTGCGCTACCTAAAACTAACACAACATTGTTATTCAACTATACTCCAATATAAAATAAAAATTTTTAAAGAAAACTTACCTGTTTAAGTATTCAGACATATTCTTAGTGGCTGCATAATATTAAAATGTTTGTAGCTATAATTCATCTACTTCCCTATTAAGAATACTAGGCAGCTTTTAATATTTCTCTAGTCTAAATAAAAACCCACATAATTTTTGTGGTGCACATTACTAGATTGATTTATACAAAGTTCTTGATAAAGATTACCAAATTACTCCCCAGAAAGACTGAAGCAATTATATTCTCAGTAACAGTGTTTGAGAACTATGTCACAGACCCAAGCTCGCATACTTTTTGGAAATCTTTGTTAACTTGTTAGGCTAAAAGGTATATTTTCAAATTTATAATTTTTAGTCTCAAACAGTAAACATTTAAAAAATAAGATAGACTTTTTCTCTTGTAAGTCATTACTCTTGAAAAATTTTGCACTTAAATGAAAATTTATATACTCTCATAAAAAATATTCTGTCCTCAGAGCTAGAGAAGGTCTTTCTCTGACCCTCCCCTCCTCTTCCCATTATTCACTGGCTCTTTCCTCTCCTCTTCCTTTTGTAACAGGAGTGCAGGTCTTGCTGTGAGGGGATGATCTGCAATGTTGAGTTACCCACCAACCACACGAATGCGGTCTTCGCTGTGATGCACGCTCAGAGGATGTCTGGCAGCGGTGCCCCTGCGCTCTACCTACCGGTGCTGGCCTGGGCCTTCGTGCTGCCGTTGATATAAGGCCACCTTCCCGGGAGAGGCAGAGACCAGTCCTCTGAACACAAGCCAACCACTGTAAAATGGCGAACTTGGAAGACCAATCTCTTCAAGATTGAAGGATGCGCTTTGGACCTCACAGCAGAAGCCAGCTGTTTGCTTAGCTCAGATGCTCCTGCAGGAGGCCGTAAGGAAGGGGACTTGGCAGGGACTGAGTGGTCATGTAGTTGTTAGGTTTCTTGATCAAAAGGGCTGCATTGTGTCTCTTCTGCAAGGAGGGTCCTGCCAGCATCTACCACGGGCGGGCTCAGTAGCCTGTGTTGTCCCCACCAGACCAGACCTTTAGCGGAAAGGACTCCTTGACCTGACTGACTTCTTCAGGGGCTGCTGGAACAGACCCTCTCGATTCTGTGATTGGCTCAGAGTATTGCTGTGAAATCTAATCCTTCCCCGAAGAGATAGCAGTTTCCCCACTGACGGTGTAGTAACGAGAAAGCCCACTATGGGAAGAAAACTTCCAGTTGAACTAATATGAAACCTATTTGCTAATTGTGGGGGGAAATAAAGCTTTTAAATTATAAGTGTAGAATGCATGCTTATCTGTTTCTTGGCTGACGTGGAGACCTCAGTTGAAACATATTAAGGAGTGTCATAAAGGAGGCCAATTGAAGTTGATCGTGCACCACAGGTGCTAATATTCTGGCTTAAAGTATACAAGTCTATGCCAAGGTGACTTAATTTTTTCTTTTGAGGAAAGAACCTTCTAAGGATGCAAAATGCAAAATTAGTGAACTGAGAAGGTGAGGAAACCTCCATGAGCAAGGAGGATGATACCTTATCACGTGATAGATCCTCAGAAATAGCAGTTTAGGGACTTCCTTGGTGGTCCAGTGGTCAAGACTCTGGGCTCCACTGCAGGGGGCATGGGTTCCACCTCTGGTTAGGGAACTAAAATCCTACATGCTGAGCAGCATGGCTAAAAATTATAAAAAAGCAGCTTAAAGACAGAGAAACTGGCGACAGAGTCCCTCTCCCAGTCAACCTGTCTCAATGGGAGGGCCATCAAGAGAAACTTTCTAAATACATGCTAAAATGTCTGGTCCCTTTGTCTTCTCTTTCATTCTTATAACACAGTCCTAGACTTTCAAAGGAGCAACTTCTGTTTCTAGAATCCTAATTTCTCACCTTTACACTTTGGAGTGACCTTTAAATACTCTGCCTTTATCTGTATAGTGAGAAGTTAGTGGAGTGTTTGTTGTTTTGTTTTTCAGTAGAACATCTACCATTAGAATGCTGAGTGCTCCATAGAATCCACTAATGATGGTGTCTTTGCCACACTGGCTCATCCATGATGGGGGCTGGCCATGGATCAAATACATCCCACCACTCTTAGTCTGCCCAACTGTTCTAACAAATATTCTGTTGCCCTGGTGTCTTCAACTCAAACATGTAATCCTCACATTTCCGGAGGCTGGGAGATCAAGATCAAGGTGCCAGCAGACCTACTGTCTAGTGAGAGCCCTCTTCCAGATTTGCAGACTGGTCTTTTCATATATGCTCAGGGCAAAGGGCGAAGAGTGAGCATAAGGATACTAATCGCATTTATGAGGACTCCACCTGCATGACCTAGCATCCCCCAGAGGCCCTACACCCAAATCCCATCACATTGGGGCTTTAGGCTTCAACACATGAATTTGGGCTTCCCTGCTGGCTCAGACAGTAAAGAATCTGCCTGCAATGCAGGAGACCTGGCTTCAATCCCTAGGTCAGGAAGGTGCCCTGGAGAAGGGAATGGGAACCCACTGCAGTATTCTTGCCTGGAGAATTTCATGGACAGAGGAGCTTGGTGGGCTACTTGCAGAGTCGAATACGACTACCACCACCATGTGAATTTGGGGGAGACACAAATATTCAGTCTGTAGCAATTCCCTATTTTTGTGAACAATTTTTTAGGAACAAAGCCATGCCTATTCACTTATCTGTTGTCTACAGGCTTCCTTCTTGCTACAACACCAAGAATGAGTAGAGGCAGCCAAGAGCACATGGTCTGTGAAGTCTAGAACGTCTGGTAGTTTGCCCTTTACAGAAACAGTGTGCTGACCCCTAATCTGTGAAATGGCAGAAGTACATCAGGAAAAAGCTGCTTGCTTTGCTCGGGCTGTGATGCTCATGGTGGCGACTTGGCGTCTACAGTGGTTTACCAGATCACTTTCCTTACATGCATCCATGAATTTTTCTTCTTCATTTTGTTTGTCTGTTCCCCTGATTCAACCTCTTAGGGGTTATGTGCTGTTGTCAGGTGCTGAGCTGTATATGTTTCTTCTCAACCTTGATGCACTGGGAGTGTCTCATCTTAAAGCTCTCTACCTTCCAATTAAACAGGGAGGAGGCAGATGTCATTACCTCCCTGTCTCTGGCCGAACCAGAGACTCACCTGGAAGCAGCAGTTTTGAAGTCTGATGTAGATTTATCTTGCCTTTCACTCAGCACCTTGAGGTATTTGAATTTTCATAGCTATGCTTGTTTGAAATTAATTATATATGACTGCAGTTGGTACATTTTAAGAGCATCTTTGGTGGATGTCTTTTTATTCCCCGGGGTTTCTTTTGTCTGTGAAGTTGATGAATTGTCTGGTAAAAAACCCTTAGCAGACAGTACTTCTTTTTCTTTCTTCTGTCTAGATTAATGAATTTTCCTGTGTGTTTTTTTATTTTCTTTCCCAAGGAAACATCTTAATTTTCTCTTCTTCACCCCACATATGTTTTCATAGCTTGCCCTCCTAACCACCACTCCTCTAAGCATTGAAAATAGTTATCCTGAGCCAAAGAGAGAACACACAGTGGGAACAAATTGCAAAGACAGCCAAGTGAGTAGGAGTGCCAGATTTACAAATAAAAGCATGGGATGTCCCATTTAATTGGAATTTCAGATAATTTTTTAGTGTAAGTTGTTCATGAACTCATAAGTCTGGCTCATCTGAGGCAATGTTTTCAAGTCCTTGTAATCAGAATTTTCTGGCCAACTTCACAATAAGACAAATTCTAAGGGCCTCCTAGAGATGTTGACTCAGGAGATGGGATGGAGCCCATGCCTAATCCCAATAATTAGATGTTAAAGAAGAAGCTCCCAGTTGACTGTGATGCTAGGTGTGTTACCCTTGATCTGAGAGGTTTACTCCTTCTTCAGAAGCCCAGTCCTTGGTCAGATAATAAGTGCTGATGAGTAATAAAGATGCTCACAAGTAACCTGGGTTGGAGTTGTGGTCTCTCTCAGTGTGGTCTCTGGACCAGCAGCATAGGCATCACCTGGGAATTTGTTAGAAACTCAAATACTCAGCCTCCATTCTAGACCTGCTGAATCAGAAACTCTAAGGGGTCAATCTGGGTTTTAATAAGGTTTCTAGGTGCTTCTGATGCACACACTAGTTCAAGAACCACTGGACCAGAGAAGTGCTTCCTAAATGTCTTTGTAAATGAGTCCTTGGTGGGGGCANTAGACCTGCTGAATCAGAAACTCTAAGGGGTCAATCTGGGTTTTAATAAGATTTCTAGGTGCTTCTGATGCACACACTAGTTCAAGAACCACTGGACCAGAGAAGTGCTTCCTAAATGTCTTTGTAAATGAGTCCTTGGTGGGGGCATGAAAATTACTCAGGGAGTTTATATTTAAAGAAGAAAACTGGACTCACAGGCCCCAAATCCAGAAAATCAGATTCTTTCTGTTAGAGTTGAATCAGAAAATCTGTATTTTTAGTAAACTCCTCACGTGATCCTGACACACAGCCACTTTTGGAGCCACTAAACTAGAGAATAAGAGATGGGGGTGATGTTAGTGAACAGAAGCCCAAAACCTTTAACACTTGACCTTGAAATCCCTATGCATTATAAATGGACTCTATGTGGTGTCTCCAATGCAATTGTTTTAAAACTAGAATCCAAGAATCTAATCAGAGTCCATTTGCATGGATATTTTTAGTCCATTACATAGTGACCTAGAATGGCCAAGCGATCCAGACCTCAGATTAATTTCATTTGCCCCCTAATGAGCAAGAAGATGAAAAGTACCTTGTCAAAATGTCCCGTGAGAACTGGGGTAGTGGAGGCAGGAAAGGAGAATATGCAGATTTGTTCTTATAAAAAAGACAAGGGGATTAGCTATGAATACGAGGAAAGTGTGAGGGGATGACCTGTCAAAGTTCCATTTTGAATACAACTACATTCTAGAATAAATCTTGAATTCCTGTCCATCATTCACTTTCTGAAAATTAAAAAAAAAAAAGTGGTACAGAACACATATTTTCCCTGCTATGTCTAAACTCTCTAAATCCAAACCTGACTGAGGTTAGCAGCCAGAAATTACAGGCATTGTCTTCTGTACAGTCTGCATTCTGCTGTGTCACATGCTGTGTAAAACACATCTCATAAGACAAGAGAAAGAGGTGGGTTGGTTTCTTTTTCTCACTGGGAGAGGACTTAAAAGCTGTGCAAAGCATGAAATGAGCAGCATGAACCAGCATGGACTTGGAAAGTGAGGTGTGGTGTGGAATTGGGAAATGTTTCACAATTGAGAAATTACCCTTATGCACAATTCTTGTGATGTGTCAATTGCCATCTTATAAAATTCTGCTCTGACCTTTGAATCTTGTACGTTTTGTTTTTCACCTCGTTGTTTGTCACTGACTCTGATTTGTGGAGGGTTTCACTGTGATTCTGGATGTGTGTGTGTGCTGTGGGTGGGGAGGAGGCGGGCAAAGCATGCCAGAGGACAGAGGTGAGTGGATGCATGAAGGTGACTGTACAAACGAGAACAAAGGGCTGTCCTAATGTAACTTGAGTCTGCCTTTAGGTGTAGCTCCTCGGCTGTGCCCCTGAACAGTCCAGCATCTTCTTGGTATCACACACCTCCCACTTCTCCTTTGGCCTTCATAGTTCTACTTCCTTCCCTGTCTTCTTCCCTCATTGCCTTGGCCTCTTCTATTAGATGCTGAGGCTAGAAGCTGACCTACCTACAGGGGTAATCCAGGATGTGAGCTACTCAGAGTGTAGGCTGTGAAAAATATGGCTTTCATAGCTTGATCCCAGGAATACTATTCAAGGAGTCTGGGAATCTGCAGTTTGAACAAGCATCTACCTGGTCATGATTTTGGTACTGGGAGTCCTTAGGGCATCATCTTTAGAAACAATAATGCAAGGCCTCAGTAAAGGCTATAGAGGCTCAAGTAAGAGCATCCACCACATAACTCCTAAACCTCCAGTTCTGCACTTTTTGGTCTGTGAAAACTGGTCCCAGGGAAAGGGCTAGGATAAGGTGGAAGACACTCTGGCTTGGCAGAGCCGCCCTATATGGATGGTCCTGAGTTCAGTTCAGTTGCTCAGTTGTATCCAACTTTTTGTAACCCCATGGACTGAAGCAGGCTGGGCTTCCCTGTCCATCACCAAGTCCCGGAGCCTATTCAAACTCATGTCCATTGTGTTGGTGAGGCCATCCAACCATCTCATCCTCTGT